TTGTGTCCCAAGATGTGAGCTCTAAGCTACTGCTTCAGCATCATATCTGCCTACCTGCTACCAAGCTCCCCATCATGATAGTCATGGGCTCTTCACCTCTGAAACAATAAGCCCCAAATAAATGCTTTATTTTATAAGTTGCCTTGGTCATGGTGTTTTATCACAGCAATAGAAAAGTACAACATGTAGATCGTAGGAATTTTTGAAGCCTCCATGTTAAACAGACTGCAGGAAGTACACACCACTCTCCCAGGCCATCCCATGGTGCCTGGAACATCAGTCTCTGGTGTTCTAGAAAGTTTCAGTTACAAAGGAATAAGAAATTAAAGGCTTAGACATGTCCCTCTAGCAAAGGCATTAGGAAATCACTGAAGAGTGCTCGGTTCTCTCAAGGTTGGTTTAGGAATGGTCAAGATTGGGGTCTCCGACAGGCTCTCCTTCCTTGTTAATGGTAAGTTCTGCTAAGGTCAGCTCCTAATCCCACCAAGGAATTAACTAATTAATGAATTAACATTTAATTAAGCTAAATATGTATCACAAACTTGTGGCAGATGGCTTCAACCACAGATGACAAAGTACATCATTGTGTCAGAGTCCGTGGCATCCCTAAATCAACTCAGAGAATACCAAAGACTAGCCAGCAATTAACCACATAGTCAAGCATTTGAGGTCCTACACAGACAGTTCAAAAGCACCTCATAATGTGTGGCTGTATTCACTTAGCCAACACTCTATTTCTCTAGCCCATATGATAAAGAAAGGCTCAGCAGTTGGAGTTGATGGTACTAAAGGTTTTTTTTTTTCTCCTCTCTGAATTGGTTCATTGAATACATCTGAGTATGGCCTCAGGCATAAAAACACTTCTGGCTTCCCAGTTCCTCTCACTACCTAACACCTGAGGAGGTCCCAGCCCTGGTCTAGCATAATGAAGACTTTTATTACATCAGGACTGCTGCTGCTGCTGCTGCTGCTGCTGCTGCTCACATCATGGAGGTGTTCTGGGCAAGAGCCAGGTATCAGAGTGGACCATGACTGGTGATGTTTTCAAGGGGTAATTCCTCAATGACCATGAGTCATGGGGCTCTTGGTTTCGAGGGCTTTATTGTTCCATCTGAAAAGTTAACAACTTAATAATTCCCAGCCCTATATGTTATCTCTACCTGTGTTACCAGAACATTATAGTCCCAGCATACAGGTTGCAAACTTTGTCTTCCCTGTCCTGGTGAGTGAAGGTATTTGGACTCAAGTTGTTACTTTGGCTGAGGTATCCAAGTTGGATTCTAGCCCCCTCCTCCCACTTCTTCCCACATAGGCACTCTTCAATTTCCTACCAGGTCACCCTTGAGCCATCTGTTCTTCCTCACTTGTACCTTACCTGTCTTTTCAGTTTCCTACCTGCATTATTCAACTACACATTCTTAACTAGCTTCCCTTATGTAATCATCTCTCTTACCCTCCCTACATCATTTTTTAGATATTCTGAATAAAACTTTCTTAAACATTCCAGTGTTTCCCGATAGCCAACTCATGACACAAAGACTAGCCTTCAACATCCCATACAGTCTGGTCCCAAGCTCCTCTCAGACCCCAGGAGGTCTAAGGGTTTCCCCAAACAACTGAGGAACCTTGTTTCACCACTGGCATGGTATCATGTTCCCTAAGACAAAGTGGGACTGTACTCATTTAAAATATCTCTTAAGTCCTGCAGACCACCAGAGACTCAGCTGAAAGGAGGCAGAGGTTAACTTAGGAGTTTTTCATGCAAACTGTTATAATGTCTCAGAAGGAAAGTTGATTGTGAGTAAGTACAGGTACTAAGAATAATGTGTGTAGTATTTGGAGGACAAAAGAGAATCCCTGGAGGCAGCATAGTTTACCAGGGGACCTTAGGAATAATATTATCATTACTTACAGGAAGGTGGGCTGTTAGAGAGCAGGAAACACTCCCTATTCCTTGCCTTTAGATAAAACAAAAGGAGAGTTCTGCAAAATACCTATTGCAAACACGATAGTCCAAGCTGATGAACTATGTCCAAGATAATGAAGACCACATGAGAAGGGGAGGAAGCAGAGAGCTAGGGAGGCCCACGGAGATCCACAAAGATACCCCCGCAGAAGACTGCTGGCAATAGTCGAGAGACGGCAGGAACTGACCTACTCTGGTGATGGGATGGCCAGACACCCTGTTAGTTGTGCCATAAACCCCATCCAAGGACTGAGGAATCTGGATGCAGACATCCACGGCTGGGCCCCTGGTGGAGCACTGGGAGTCTAATTAGTGAGAAAGAAGAGGGTTTATATGAGCGAGAATTGTTGAAGCCAAGGTTGGATAAAGCACAGAGACAAATAACCAAATGAATGGAAGCACAGGATCTATGAACCAAAGGCTGAGGGGCCCCCAACTGGATCAGGCCCCCTGAACGGGTGAGACAGTCATTTGGCTTGATCTGTTTGGGAGGCAGCTGTGCGTTGGTGCCGCGTCCTGGGCTCGTTGCATGAGTTGGCTGTTTGAATCCTGGGACTTATGCAGGGACACTTGGCTCGTTTTGGGGGGGGGGGACTGGACCTGCCTGGACTGAGTCTACCAGGTCGACCCCGGTCCTTGGGGGAGACCTTGATCTGGAGGAGGTGGGAATAGGGGGTGGGCTGGGGGGAAGGGGAGGGGGGCGAGAGGGGGAGAACAGGGGAATCTGTGGCTATTATGTTGAACTGAATGGTGTTGTAAAATAAATTAAAAAAAACATTTTTTAATTGGAAAAAATATAGGTTGAATGTTAAAAGGTTAGACGAGGGAGTGGAGTTTTCTGAGATGGTGGGAATGAGCTGTAAGCAAGAGGATCCTTCCATCGACAAAGGGCAGCTGAGAAGAATGAAAGACATGAGACTGGGGGCAATGAGCTCCTCCACGAGGCTGCTGAGGTTGCCCAGGGAAGGGACAGTGATGGAGCCCAGGGTACAGCCATGTAGAAGTAGATGGGAGATCAGTTTTGAAAGCAAAGTGAAAAGATTCCGTGGGAGACTGTGGGAAGGAAGGGAAGTGGGAACTGCGACTAGATCCTAAGGCCTTTGGGCTTCAGTGGTGGGTGGGTGTGGTGCTGTTGACTGAGATGAGGAAAAACCATGAGTTCCATATAGAACTTGTGTGTGAGTGAGGAGGACTGCTTCAAATAGCCTCTGTATATCTGATAGCTAATTGGAGAGCTGATCCTAAAGCTTGGGAGAAGAGTCCAGCAGAGGCCTAATGGAACATTCTGGTCTCCAGGGTAATGCAGTGTCGTAGGTCCAAAGAGCATAATGTTCAGTTCCAGCTCTTTATTCATTCCGGGACCTTGAACAACTCACATCTTCTTTCCATCTGAACTGTATGTCTGCTACTATTTGATAACGCTGCCATTGCCTGAAAATTAAAACCCGGTAGTCATGGAAATGGCTCAGTCAGTAAAGGGCTTTCCATGCAAGCATGAAGAGCTGAGCTCAGATCTCCAGCACCCAGGGAAAGAGCTATAATCCCAGTGCTGGGGAGGAAAGAGACAGACAGAGTGCCAGGGTTTGTTGGCCAGCTACTCTAGCAGAGTTGGCAGGCTCCAGGTTCAGTGGGAAAACCTGTCTCAAAAAATAAGGGTGGAGGAGCAACTGAGAAAGATACAACATCTACTGATGGCCTCCATGTATACATATACCAGCATGCAAGTATACCCACAGAGAGAGAGAGAGAGAGAGAGAGAGAGAGAGAGAGAGAGAGAGAGAGAGAGAGAGAGCACTTAAGTTTCACAGAGACACCAAGGATTGGGGAACTTGGTACCCAATACAGCACCTTGATAAAAGTGCATACCTCTGCTTCCATTCTAAATCACTACCACAGTTAATCTCAGGCAGAACTTCGGGCGGGGGGAGTTGCAAGTTGATTCATTTGAGGGATGTCAATGAGAAGAAAATAGAAGTGGAATCATATTATGAAAGGAATCATCTTTGCCCACATCCCTAACCTCTATTTGTTTTGGTTAACTTGGGTGTTCTTTCATGCCAGTGTATTGAGGAGGAGCAGCTGACTGCCTTTTCTTCTTTCAACAGTATCAGTGGAATGCAATTATCTTCATCTCCGTGTTATAGCTAAAAGGACACTGTTTTATCCAGATGTACGTGTAGGCCCTGATGAATTGTTCCTAGGGACAGGCTGTGTGGTGATTCATGTGCGACCAGATGAACTTGAGTTTAATTATCCTATCAATCTCTGTGGGATCGTTGCAGAGGTAAGAGAAGGAACTATTTTACCTGGTGCCATCTGTAAAGTCTTTTCAAGTGTTGTTTCCTGTTCTTGTCTTAATACCTATGTAACATTGGTATTGCCAACCTAGTGTCTTAGCCTAAAAGAAACACAAGGAATGATTTTGTCATTTCTACTCATTCACCAGAGTTACAATGTATAGAATACTTGGCGTTAATAAGAAAACTATAGACTTTTCTATCAAAATTAACTTTCTATTAACATGGCACACATATTATTTTCACATGGCATTTTATACACCTAATCCGACACAATCAATTCTGCTTCTACTTATATAGAGTGAGGAATTGAGGCATAAAATCCAGCCATGTAACCAGACACTTGAAGTTCATATATAGCAGAACAAGGGTCAGAGACAAGGCTTGCAGATGCCAAGTCTAAGCCTGTCGCTTTAGTTCTATGATGACTCTGGGATGAGCACTGAAATGAACAACAACAATAATAATAATAAAACCACACAAGATATCCCTAGTGAAGTATCCTATTGTAATTGCCTTACAGATCGTCTCCATCACTAAACTTATTCCTGGAGGTAACCTGTGCTCCTCTTTCTTAGCGTGGTGCTCAGGGCCCAGGCCATGAGTAAACACAGAGGTGTAGTCTTTTGATTAAAACTTTCCCCCAGGAAGTTAAGAGGCAAGAATGATCTGGAGTGGTCCTGAACTAGAAGTAGACTTAATTTGTTCATTTCTAATCAATACATATGTATGTGTTGTATGTGTGTATGTATGTTCATATATATCATTGAAACCAATAGTACTTCAGCATCTACAAGAAAATCTGAAAGCATACTTTGGTGTAAGAAGTTTCAAACACATCTAACGTAAATACAAAACATTCCATTTATCTTATCTTCATTTGCATTACTGTAGTCATTGACATAAGTATGTTCTTCTAGAAACCTAAACTTCATGTCATGGACATGGAATAACTTAAACAGATTGACATGAAGATCCTTCAATCTTCTCTGCCTTGTAGTATCATGCAATGATTGCCTATCTCAGTCTATTTCTTAAGCCTGTGCCTACCCAAAGCAAGATGCCAGACACTCAGATTTGTTCCCATACACCCATCCAAAGAAATCCAAAGGCACTTTGGGGTTTTTAGGAGCTAAAAGCAAGTGTCAAATATAGAGCCCTTCACAGAAGTCTAAGACCATAGTTATCAAGTGGGGAAGATCCTTCCAACAGGGAACACTGGGCAATTTGAGGAGACAATGTTAATGACTCCATCCAGAGAGAAGGGTTCAACCGACATCTGGTGGAGAGGAGCAGGTGTTTAGCACATGCAGGCACAGGCCCCTCCACACATAACAGAGAGATACTTAATCTAAAGTGCAAGTGTCACAGCTGAGAAACGCTGGTCAGAATATCCCTACATCCATCTTCTCTCCTTACCCTTTGCTCTGGGCAGATCCTCTACCACTGATGCATCCTAAAGTCTGCCAATTATCATAAGGCCATTTCATGGTTTTAATAGTGTCTGTCTGTCTGACTTCTGGATTTGAAAACTGGATAAGATAAATCTTTCAGACCTTGGGCACCACATGAATCATCAACCCTACTATTTATTTAATGAGTCACTGACTTTGGGACCTCTCTATTAACTTGGATAATACGTCATATCTAGTATGATCCCAAATGCATAAATAATAGAGGATCAAATTGTTATAGAACTTGAAGCCAGTATGGTAAAACCATAGGATTTGTAACTTATTTATGAAATCTAAATGCATTTCATGCTCAGGAAATCTAATTGGTCAGTACAAATACATCTTGTTCTAGTTAATACTCTTCCTTCTGATGAGCTTTTAGAAACTTGGAAATCCAAAGTAAAAGCCAAATACTGAGTTTGAAGTCAGAAGTATCAGAAAGAGTATCTCAGACTCCTTCAAATAGTTTCTTCATCTTTTAAATCCTCATAGAGCAAGTTTCCATCTAAGTAAGAATGAAATACTTGCTGGGCGGTGATGGCGCACTCCTTTAATCCCAGCACTCGGGAGGCAGAGCCAGGCGGATCACTGTGAGTTTGAGGCCAGCCTGGTCTACAGAGTGAAATCCAGAACAGGCACCAAAACTACACAGAGAAACCCTGTCTTGAAAAACCAAAAGAAAAAGAAAAGAAAGAAAGAAAGAAATTGTTTGTCAAATGTGTTGCATTATTTTCTGTTTGTTGAGTGCTTCTGTATTGCAGAGAGAACTTTAAGCACATTAATTCAGCTGCATATCTTTATTTCTTGGGATGATAGAGTGGCAAATGATTTATCTTTCAATTTCTCATTTGAATATATTAAAATGTGTTGTGACAAACCATATGTATACTTCAAAGATCTCTCATCTCAACAGATAGTAGCTGATGGAACTATCTTTTATACCTGGCTCACCTATAAACCCAAGCAGTTATATTTTTCTGCTGAGCTTCAGCTGCAGTGTGTGGTTCACAGGTCAGTACAAAACACACATTGGCTCCTTGATTAAATTTCAACAACTCTTGGCTAGCATGTACCATTGCTTGTCCACAAACTTTGAAATTCATGACTTTTTATGTAGCTGGGTGTCTACAGCATGTCAATCCATCTTAACCTCTAGCGCCATCCCTACCAGAGGCCAAAATTTAGGCCAAGAAAGTGACACCAGTTACAAAGCTGTGAATGGGTCTTGGCTGTTCATCCTACCCTCCAAGAGGAAAGACATCTTGCCAAGCCAAATGCATCACATCAATAATGGCATACAATACATATGGAAATTTCTAAAGTACACAGACTGGCTTTGACCTTCTGAACAATCCAAAAGACCCTAACTGGGTCTAATGGCAGTCATGTAAAACCAGCTTATATAATTTATAATCAAATAAAATCCTCAAGAGGCTGAGGAAGACAGACTGTAAGTTCAAGACATGCCTAACACTACTCAGTGAGTTCAAGACCAGTCATAAAAACTAGGTGAGACCATTTCAATATAAAAAGAGGGCTGAGGATAGAGCTCAGTGGTAGAGTACTTACCTAGCAATCAAAAGGCTCTGAGATGAATCCCCAGTACTGCAAGACAGGGGTGGAAGAATGGAGGGAGGG